GCAAGAAGCAGAGCCAAAGGACGAGCCCTGGCTAACTTCTCCAGAAGCTACTTATAGAAGTAATACACCACAAATGTGGAGACTGCTATCCAACTGCGTTCTCTGCTCTTGCGTACTCTCGTGCTCTTTAATAAGAGACCAATGATGTTAAATCCTCCTTCCCCAATCACTTATTGCCAAGGAATTTCTCACAAGTGCATTCTACAGAAACCAGGAAGAGTTAGTATGATTTCTTAAGAGGATTCTGTCACATCTATATATGTCTCTATTCAGAGCAGTAATGGAAAATACTTTCTAAAACATGCATGTACTTTAACCCTTCACTTCAAGAAGCTGCATTGCAATGCCATCAATATACAAACTGTGACAGCATTGCATCCGACGGCTCCAAATAGTCCATAGATAATGAAACTTCATGATACTCAAAAACCAAGGCCAAGTTCCTGTTCCATCTCTTTTGTCAATAGCTTTTCTCTCCTACTGCAATTAGCCATCTGATATCTGTTTCATTAGTTCATTGCAATATGGAATCTGATTTGACAAAAAGGCAGCTCTCCAAAATTTGTATGAAAAAAGAAGTAGATGGGGTGGGGCCTGTGGATCAAAGGAGTAGGGCGCTGGCCCCATATACAGGAGGTGGTGAGTTCAAACCCAGCCCTGGCCAAAAAAAAAAAAAAAAAACCTGCAAAAAAAAAAAAGAAAAAAGTAGTAGAATCAATTTACTGTGCTCAATGTTAAATCTAGTGTGTTCAGAAAACAAACTTCTAATTTTAATACTAAATTATCTCCCTTTTCTTGACTTCCAAGGCTTATATTACTGACCAAGAATAACCTACAACACTTTTCTATCATGATTTTACTATTTGTTCTGTATTTCTTAACCACCAATGAGTAACAAGGAGAATGCAGAAAAAATTCTAATAACACACAATAGAACCTCCATATTGACAACCTCCCTATATCAACCACCTCCTTAAGTTGACCTAATTTTTGTAGTTCAGACATGTACCTTATGCATGTATCAGTACAGAAGGCCTACTTCCATATATTGACCAGTCTGTTACAGTCCCTTAGGTGGTCAACTTACAGAGGTTCTGTTGTATATATTTTTTAAAAAACAACCTAATGTTTACTAGAAAAAGAATATTATAATACAGCAATGTCAATCCTAAATCCTAAATTTTCTAGGAAATTCACATCAAATATTTTACTCACTGTTGTGTGCTGCAACAGTTAACAATAATACACTCACAGAAAGCATTTAATTACATATAGAATGCTTTTTGTAGGAAGAAATACATGTAGCAGTATCAGATCACATGTGTTAATCTATAAACTAGCTCCCAAAAACAATCTGCCAAAATGCAATTCAAACAAAAATCAACTTGTTCCCTTTTTTTCCCACTTACTTATATTTTGCAGAGTCCAAACAGCATTGTAAGGCAACAGCAGACTCCAAATAGCATTATAAGACAGTAACAATTTTTTTTAAATAAACCTGGGTATAAAAAATGTTAAATTAAGTAAAAACCAAACGTATGTATTTTATGAAATTGAGTGCCAGGACATTTATCACATATCATTTGCAGCTAGAAGAAAAAGAAATAGCAAGGTGGATAGATCAGAGTGATCAGACAAAAAAAGACTGAAAGCATCAGGGAAGCAGCAGATACCCCTGGTTTTCACAGTAACTATGAAGTAATACAGACTGCCAACACAGTACTACAGGTTATGTTAGCAGACTTTTGTGGAAAAAAGATGTCACTCTTTACCTTAGCACATTCTTAGAAATCATGACATACCACTGATAACTGTGAGATTTCCCTGCATTTTGATCATGAATACTGTATAAAGGAAGCTATAAATATAAACCATAGATCTGTGACTTAAAACTGAGTTGAGTTATAATAAAGTTAGAGTATTTTTGCTTGATTTCTGATAAAATTGCTGAGGGATGATTTTGAAGGCATTGGTTGATCTCTTTTAAAAGCATATTGGGAACTTTAGGGGAGAGGAGCAAGATAGCGGCCGAGTAACAACTTCCTTGCAACTGGGCATGGTGAGTCTGGGGAGAGAAAACTCCAGGCATCTTTGGCTGGTAGGCTCTGCCCATAAACATCCCTTTTGGGACAAAGGAGTCAGCGAGAGACTTCTGGACCCCATGAAGAGGACAAAAGCAGTGGAGAACTGGCAAGTGTTTGCATGTGTTTGTTAGGTCTAATCCTGCAGGCAGCTGTAAGTACAGCAGCAATGAGATTGCAAACTGGAAAGGCCTTACCTGTGAGCTGTTTTGAACTTGGCACTCAGTTGAACTACCTTGGGAGAACTTGGGCAAGAGTGCAGAGGACTTTAAGCGTTGTCTAGGACCACAGATTGAGCCACTGAGTCAGACGGAGCTAATAGTGTTTGGCTATGGGCTGCGTGGAGCCATTGTGGGAGAACTGCCCAGGCAAGCTCTGCCCTTAGGGTTGCAGAGCAAGGATTAGGTGGGAGTGTAATCTACTGACTGAGCAGCCGAAAGGTGGAGACTGATAAGCCTTACAGCCTT